TTGACCAGGATGGTCTCGATCTCTTGACCTCGTGATCCACCCGCCTCGGCCTCCCAAAGTGCGGGGATTACAGGCTTGAGCCACCGCGCCCGGCCTGAATTCCCTTTATTTCTAAGACTGAATAACATTACACTGTATGTACATATCATGTTTTGTTTATCCATTCATCCATCTGTGGACACCTGGGTTGTTTCTGCCTCTTGGCCATCGTGAATAATGCTGCTCTGAACAGTGTATAAATAACTCTTTGAGATCCTGTTTTCAGTTCTTTTGGGCATATACCAGAAGTGTAATTGCTGGATCATATGGTAATTCTATTTTTAATTTTTTGAGGAACAACCATACTGTTTTAGAACAGGGATTTTTATCTGTTTTGTTCACTGATACATCCACAGTGCCTCACATAGTGCCTGGCACATAATAGAGGCTCACTCAGTATTTGTGTTTTGAACAAATACATGAATGAATGATCTTAATTGATCCTCACACACCCCTGTGGAGTTGGTCGGTATTATTATTTCCATTTACAGATATGATGATTCCCGTTTTATAGAGGCTGAGGTTCAGGGAACCAGCTGAGAGCACACAAAAAGCAGACTTGGCATGGGGTTGATGGGCTTGGCTGGCTTTTTTAACCGGCTGGAGAATCAGCACTGATACACGTACCTAGGCCCTTAAGGACTCGGGCAGTTGAAGAGTCATTTCCTCCGTGTTGTATTTCCTTTGGGAATATTCGTACCGTCATTCTCACTGCCTGCTCCTCCCCACTCTGTGACTCCCCATAGCACATCCCCGCCTTCCCCGCCCAGTCCCAGCTTTTCTCTCCCCAGGGCATTTTAACTCATTCTCTGGACTCAAACTGGCCCGATCTGGAGATCCTCCAGGTGGGTTTCATCTGAGTACATCTAGCCTTGCTCGAGTCCCTGTTTCCACCCCTCACCCCTCCACCCAGCTTGGGGTGGTTATAAGCCTGTTCCCTTCCAAAGCAATTAGTGCAAGGAGGCCAGCCGACTCGGTGCTAATGCTGTTTCATTAAGTGGGAGCAATCCTAATGATAATAAAATGGCACATTTAACATTCAAACATTGAACAGGGTTTCTAAGCGAGTGTGTCTCTTTCTTTCTGGTATAACAGCTCCATCTTCATAAGGGCCTGACAATACACCTTAATGAGAGACTGGGGAGCTGAGCATCTTCACAGAACCAGAGAGGGGGTGAGGAGTAGACAAAGAATCCAAAGAAAGGGGGTGCAGTGCATTGAGGGGATAAAGACTCCAAGGGTTCCTGGGTTAATGGATTCTGTGGTGCTAATTTAGGCAATTAGAGTCTGGAAGAAATGAGGTCACACAGAAAAGAAAGCCCACTACAGACTTCATGCAGGGCAGTTATTTATTTGTTCCACAAATATTTATTTGGTCATCGAACACATGCCAGATTGTATGGGCATTTGTGATGGAGGCTGACTCTATCTTTAGGAAAAGGAACTCCAAGGGCACGGTGATCTCTGAGATCATCTTGTTCACCCTCCTCTGGGCAGACTTATTCAAATCTATCCCACGCTCTTCAAATATCCCAGCAAAGAGAATTTTTTTTCTTGAGACAGAGTCTCACTCTTGTTGCCCAGGCTGGAGTGCAATGGCGAGATCTCAGCTCACTGCAGCCTCCTGGGTTCAAGTGATTCTCCTGCCTCAGCCTTCTGAGTAGCTGGGATTATAGGCATCTGCCACCACACCTGGCTAATTTTGTATTTTTAGTAGAGACAGGGTTTTACCATGTTGGCCAGGCTGATCTTGAACTCCTGGCCTCAGGTAATCCACCCGCCTCGGCCTCCCAAAGTGCGAGGATTACAGGTGCCCGGCCCCCAACAAAGAGAATTTTTAACAACTGCTTTGGTCTCCGGAGCCAGTTCTTGTGCCCTCTTCTTACTGATATATCCATCTCAAAGGTCCTCACTACTCTGCGATTGTAGAATATCTGATCAACATTCTGGGAACAAAAAAGTAGTTGTGAATGGGGAGCTGGCCAAGGAAAGAAGGTAGACTTAATCATCTGGTGTTTATGAGGGATTCAAGTGAGGCAGAAGAAACGGGTGACATCACAGGGACACTCCCTTCATCTGAGACATCTCCGTCTGTGAAATCGGCTCCTGTGCACAGAAGGGAGGCTTCTCACCAGAGGTCAAAGATGGGCTTTGCCCAGGCTTGGGAAACGACTGATTCGAAAAGGTGCCAGGTCATAAGATGGTGTTAATTTCATGCTTAATTCATACAGGATCTTCCCCACCACAGGGGCCAGCTTGAACCCGTGCCCTGGGAAAAGAAGAGCAGACTCTCAGGCAGCCTCAGAGACAGAGAGGCTGGGCTATCTGCACATCCCGTACTTACCCAGACAGGGCTGACTGCCCTCCTCATCACAGCCCAAAGCCAGAAGCAGTCTCCCACCATGAATAGCCCTTCTCTGACTGCCCAGCCTCCTTACACACACAATGTCCAGGCCAGCACCTATCTGAGCAGCTAAGAGTATGGAAAATACCATTTTGCCTGGCACTGAGGTCGGTCGGCTTTAAGGTACCCCATTCCCCCCAGCTCAGGCTCACCAGAGAATCCAGCACCAATGACAATGTTGTCATACTTTGGGTGGTGATCGAGAATGAAGTCCTCATCAGGGGTGTTCTAGAAAGAAACAATCACACCTTGTGTCCTTTGTGGCTCAAGGGAAGAGGAAGAACTGCAGGCTCTGACAGGAAGGGGCTGGGCTGGATTTCTTTCCAGAAAGGATGGAATGGGACATAGGGATGCTTCCTGCATGCCAGTGCCCCTCTGGGCATGCCAGTCTTTCTCATTTGTCCATCTGCCTTTCTTCTCGAACAGAGCTATGAACACAGTAGGTGTTCAGTTAATCTTTGTAAACTAACTTTAGCCAAGATGCCTCAGGCCCTAGTGACATCTGTCTCTTCTCTTTGTCCCTAAGGCCTGCTCAACTGGAGGAGCTTGCCAAAAAATCTTTTAGAGCTCTTCTGGGAATCAGAGTGAAGGACTGACTGCCAGGTGTAGCCTAGTTTCCTAATGAAGAAGAATAGGAATAATTTCTAACAGGCCCGTCTCTGGTAGAGGTGAACCGACCCACAGAAACGAGCTCCTTTGTTTAAAGTCATACACTGTGTCAGGGGTCAAACAATCGGGCCTGGCCAGTGCGAGGTCTGCCTCCTTCTCCCCTTCTGCAGAGTGGTGAGGGGGCCCAGGGAGGCTGCCCAGACCCCTTACCGTGTACATGCAGTGCTCGATGATGGCAGGTTCGGGCTTCAGGTCAGGTAAGTAATCTCTGACAAAGCGTTTCAGGATCTCGATGTCTTGGCTGTCTGCGCGTGCTGTGGGGCGGTCCCGCTCCTCAGGGTCTGCATGGTTGCCGTGGTGATAGCTGACCTGGCTTCCAATCAGAGCAGCATGAATGGCGAGGGCTGGCCTTCCATGCACACCCACAGCCGAGGGGCAGGCGTGTACACAGGATGGCCCCATCCATCATTCCAGCCTTCCCACTCCTGGCAGGTGCTGCAGGTTGTCACCTGAGACTGCTTAGCTCTTGGTCCCTACAACCACCCTATGTTTGCAAAGGAAGGGCTCCTTTTGCTGGGCCTCAGGGCAGCTGAGGGTCTTTCCTTGCAAATCACCAAGAGCAAAGCAGGCTCCTGCTGCTGCCCCGGGACCCAAGGGCGTCTGTGGAGGGGAAAGTCAGAGCAGCTGCCCCCAATCTGCATGGGCATCTACCGGCCTCATCTCGGTCTTTCTGCTCACCTTCATCAGCTCTGGGTACTCTCCTGCGGGCAGTCCATAGATGTGGTGGGAACTCAGGCCCAGCACCAGGAAGCACGGAAAGGCCTGGGACACACCATAGCTCCTAGGAACCATCTGTCGCCAGTAATACACGTTGACCCGCAGGGTCTTGAGGCAGGGAGAGGAAGTGGGAGATGAAGAAAAGCCATGGAACCCCACAGCAATGAAAGCAGTTTCTTCGGGGCCCTGAGGCCCTTTAACACAAGCCTGAACACCCCATTGAATTCATCCATGCTTGTCTCTTATCTACCTGTTACATGTGTTATGATGCACAAAGATCTCCAAGCCTCTGTCTCTTCTCCCGTTCTTAGTTTTTTCCCATAACTATACCCAGCCCCAGCCCTATTTCTCTCTCTGGGAATTAATAAGACCTCAGATTTATCGAGTGCTTACTATAAGCCAGGTTGTGTTCTAAGGGCTTTATTTTTATTTCGTTTCATTTTTTTTGAGACAGGGTCTTGCTCTGTCACCCAGGCTGGAGTGCAGTGGTAGAATCACAACTCACTGCAGCCTCAACCTCCCAGGCTCAGGGCGATCCTCCCTGCCTCAGACTCCCGAGTGGCTGGAACTACAAACACATGCCACCATACCTGGCTAATTTTTCTTAGTTTTTGTAGAGACAGGGCTTCGCTATATTGCCCAGGCTGGTCTTAAACTCCTGGGCTCAAGCAATTCTCTGCCTCAGTCTCCCAGAGTGTTGGGATTATAGGCGTCAGCCACCACACGTGGCCTCTAATGGTTTTACATACAGCATATATAAGGTTGATGCAAAAGTACTTGGGTTTTTGCCATGACTTTGAATGGTAAAACTGCAAATACTTTTGCACCAGCCTAATAATTCAATTCTCCAACATGTCTATGACATAGCTATCATCCCCCATATCACAGGTGATACGACTGAGGCCAGTGAGGTGAACGAATTTGCCCAAGGTTGTCCACTAGCAAGAGGAAGATCCAGGATTCAAGTTTGACTCCATCTGGTTCCAAAGCTTCTCTTAAGCACCAGCTCCCAGGCTTTCAGCTCCTCTTACCTGAAGAGGCAGCTCAATGCCCAGGGGACGGAGGAGCTGGTTGGTCCAAGGACCTGCTGTGATGACCAAGCTCTTAGCTCGGTAGCTCCTGGAGGTGGTTTTCACCGTGACTGGTAGTCCTGGGTTTATCTCCACCACCTTCTGTCCGTCACACACTCTGCCTCCTAGCTGTGCAACCACATCCTGAAAGGGCAGGAGCAGGGAAAGGTGAATTAGTTCTGTATGTGGTTCACCCTGGTGGACAAAAAGCCTTTCGCCTAGGGCAGAAAAGAGTACGAATCTAGACCTGCCCTATATTGACAAGGCCAGCAGTGTATATTTCACCACCCTGCCCAAAAAGTCAAGACTAAAACCAACAGGGTAAAGGCCTCATCCAGAGGGGGGTCTTGGGCTGGCTGGTTGGGACCCAGGATGCCCAGAGCAGGGAGCACCTGCATTGCCCCAGTGCTATACCACGTTACCTGCAGGGCTCTGAGAGCCTTGTCTGCATAAAGAACTCCTCCGAACTTGTCCAAGAGCCCCACTTCTCCCGTGGTCAACCGGATATCTGGGAAATGTTGCTTCAGTTCCTCAGATGAAAGACACTGGTGTTCCACCCCCTCCCTAGACAGAATGGCCTGGATTGTCTTTAATTCTTGATTCTCCTTCATTCCCAGAAGCAGTAGTCCGGTCTGCCTGTTAAGAAATAAGTCACCTAGGTGAAGGTGTGTTTCAAAATCCTGGGCCCGATGTGGTGGCTCACACCTGTAATCCCAGTACTTCGGGAGGCTGAGGCAGGAAGATCACTAGAGGCCATTAGTTCACTAGCCGCCTGGGCAATGTCATGCGACCCTGTCTCTGCAAAAAGTAAAAC